CAAAAAAAAAAAAAAAAGAATCCTCAGGGGAAAAAAGCAATTTTATTTATTTATTTATTTATTTTGAGATAGAACCTCAAGCTGTCGCCCTGGGTAGAGTGCCGTAGCATCATAGCTCACAGCAACCTCCAACTCCTGGGCTCAGGCGAGTCTCCTGCCTCAGCCTCCCAAGTTGCTGGGACTACAGGCACCCACCATAATGCTTGGGTAATTTTTCTTTCTTTTTTTTTTAGAGACAGAGTCTCACTTTATTGCCCTCCGTAGAGTGCTGTGCCATCACAGCTCACAGCAACCTCCAACTGCTGGGCCTAGGCGATTCTCTTGCCTCAGCCTCCCAAGTAGCTGGGACTACAGGCATCCACCACATCCCCTGGCTATTTTTTTGTTGTTGTTGCAGTTTGGCCGGGGCCAGGTTTGGACCTGCCACCCTCAGTATATGGGGCCGGCGCCCTACTCACTGAGCCACAGATGCCCTCTGGTAATTTTTCTATTTTTAGCAAAGATAGGGTCATGAGCTCTTGTTCAGGCTGGTTTCAAACTCTTGAACTCAAGTCATTTTCCTACCTCAGCCTCCTAGAGAGCTAGGATTACAAGTGTGAGCCACCACACGCAGCCAAAATTGCAATTTTAAACATAGTGCAAACACCTGTTAAGAACTACTGATCAGGTAGTGCTATAGGAGTGCCCAACGATTTCTTTTCCTGCCACACATTTCCACACATTGGAAGAACAAGAGTCGTTGTGGGCCACACAGTAAATACACAACTAACAGTAATGGAAGCTGTGTATGTTAATGAAAAGGAAAAGTCCCCTGAATACTTTCCTAATACCCAACACTACAGATAAGCAAAACGGTCCTCAAATAATCTGCATGCCGCCCACAGGTTGGACACCTCTGTGGAATGGTCAGGAAGAGGTTTCTTGGATGGGTGAGAACGGAGAAAAGGTATTGGATTTGGCCGGTAGGATATTCTAGGCAAGGAAAACACAGACGTGAAAAATTAAAGGGTAGAAACAAGTAAATCCTGCCGTGTGAGTCCACACCCAGGTGTAACACGACCGGATCCGTGTTAGCTAAGGGTGGAGGGGGCAGTTTAAGGGAAGCAAGTCGCAGACCCAAGCCAAGTAGTTCACAGCTGGCATACGAAGAGCAATGAATTGATCAAAACAAAGCATTTTTGTTTTGTTTTGCTGCCACTAGTACACATAAAGGCAAATTTTTACATTCATACATCATTCAGCATTTTCTGATATCTGTCACAGCGTTTAAGTACTCTGAACATAGAAGTTTTTATAAAGTCAAGACACACTATGAGAAAGTTTTCTGAAGAAAATGTTGCGAAGGGCAGAGTATGGGTTAACGCAGAAAGGCAGGGGAGGAGCGGTTTCCCTCCCTCTGCTGCTGCGCCAGTGTGCTGTAAACATTAAGTTGGGAATACTGGGTTTTATGCCAGGTTTTAACCGATGAGATAATTCCTTTTTCTTTTCTTTTCTTTTTTAGGCAGGGTCTCCCGGCTGCAGTGCTGGGGCATCATCGTTGCTCACTGCAACCTCAAACTCCTCAAGTGATCCTCCTGGCTCAGCAGCTGGGAATCTAAGCTCGCGCCCCTGTGCCCGACTAATTTCTCTGTTTTTAAGTATTTAGTACAGCGTCTGGCCCGGAGCAAACACTCAACAAGTTATGATTGTTATTTTGACCTTAGATCTCTCTCAACAGTCTAAAATTCAGGATTCACATTTTCAGAGAGTCCTATGAGTCCCGAGAATCTCCTATTTCAAGCTGGCATCGATTAAATATTTGCTGAAAAAAGTGAACTGTCTCTCCACCGGGCCCGGCTGAACGCTCGCCCGAGAACCGGCCAGGAGTGGCCTGCGGATCCCACTCGCACTGTTTGGAAGTGGAGAACACTGCACGCCCTTCTTCCAAGACCAATCCCGGGGCCGGGCGAGAGTCGGGTTCGCAGTCTCAGCTCCGCCCGCAGCAAAGCGAGCCTCCTCTCCAGCTCTCGGCCTCGCCCGCGGTAGGAGTCCAGTTTCCCTGCCGTCCCGGCCACGTCCCGCCCCCGCCGGCGCTCCAGACACGCCCCTTCCGGCCGGAGCCCCACCCCGTCGCGCGCTTGGCCCGGCCCCGCCGGCCCCGCCCTCGGGCCCGCCCCGCCACGAGCTCGGCGTCTTGTCCTCTCAGCGCCCGCCGGCGGCCGCGTCCACCCGCGACGCTCTGAGGTCACCGACGGGGCCGGCCTGCGGGGGGCGGAGGGACGGAGGGAAGATGGCGGCAGGGGCCGGATATTGGCGCCGCCTCCCCCAATCCCGGAGCCGGCGCAGATGAGGCGGCTCGGCTGGGGCCAGCGGCGCTTTGGAACCCGAGCTGGGGGACCCTGGCGGTGGGGCCTGGCCGTGCTGGATGCCGGCGCCTCGGCTAGAGTGAGCGGCGGCGGCGGCGGCGGCGGCGCCTCTTTCCTCGGGCTCTTTCCTGTCGCTGTGGGTGCGAGCGGGTAGCCGGCGGCGGAGGCGGCGGGCCGGGATGGAGGACGTTAACTCCAACGTGAACGCGGACCAGGAGGTGCGGAAGCTGCAGGAGCTGGTGAAGAAGCTGGAGAAGCAGAACGAACAGCTGAGGAGCCGCTCCGGGGCCGTGCAGGGCGCAGGCTCCCTGGGGCCCGGCAGCCCGGCTCGGGCCAGCGGGTCCGCTCCGTCCTCCGGCACGGCGTCCCCTCGGGGCTTCCCCTTGGGCCTCAGCGCCAAGTCGGGCTGCGGGGCGGGGACGGCCCTGAGGCGGACGAGCAGCGAGGAGCTGCGGGACGCCACCTCTTTGCTGGCGGCGGGCGAGGGCGGCTTGCTGGACGAGGTGGAGCCGCTGCGGCCCGACGAGCTGGAGCGCCTGTCAGGCTGGGAGGAGGAGGAGGAAAGCTGGTGAGCGCGGGCGCCGGCTGGGCGGGGACGGGCCGCGGCGGACAGCGGCGTCCGAGGGTCCCCGGTCGGGCGCCTCGCTTTGTGCGGCCGGGTCGGCTCCCTGGCCGACACTTCGGGGTTTTCTGGCTTTGGCTGCGGGAAGGTCAGCTGGAGTTGGAGGTTCGAGGCGTGCGCAAGGAAAAGGGCCGGGAGCTCGTTTTCTGGGCTGGGACTGTGGGTGCTGGACCCTTTGGGGTCTGTGGGTTGGCACAGCTCGAGAAGGGCTCCTCGCCGGGCGTGGGGGGAGCCAGAGGTGGGAAACTGCTTTGTAGGGAGGGATCCTGCTTTGTGTGAAATACCGGCTTTCGGATGGGCGTTTTGGGTGTCGGGAGGGGTCTGCTGGATGGGATGTCACAGAGTGCCGGGGACAGACCGGAGTCGTCCGCGTCAGCGCAGCGGTCAGTGTTTTGGACCAATGTGAGAGGGGTGGATTTCTGGAGGGGCTGGGGAGCCTGTGTGAATCAGCACTCCCATTTGGGTAGTGGGGCACAGCTTGCTTTGTGTGAAGAGGGCAGAGGATGGTGCTGCTTTGTGTGAAGAGTCAAGAGTGGAACAGGCGCCCCAGCTCTTATTTTTTAAACAAGAATTGGGTCTGGCATTTTTCACCTGTGAGGTGACAGTTACCCCTGTCACCCTTCATATCCCCATCATGCTAGGGGCAGAGAAAAAGAGCATTATGTAAAAATCTAAACCAAAACTGTTGTCCTAAGCCACTTTTGGATGAAACTAACCCATACCTTAACACTACCTGTCGTTTTCTTAAGGAAGGATATAGGTGGCTTTTCTCATTTTATTGTTACCTAATGAAGATTTCCCTGGGAAATTCTTTCTCTTAATTCATTCTCTCTAAAGTTTTAACTTGTAGTTACAATGTGTCTACTTTGTTGACATTGAAACTTCTAATTTAGTGAGATCCACATCCTTCATGGACTCTTGTATCGCAGGACTGGAACTTTGCAATGTTCTGAGGTAGTTGGGAGCTTTGCCTGGATTCAGAGCCTAGCTTTGCCACTTACAAGCTATATGACCTTGGGCATAAGTTACTTTTAAGTCCCTTTCTTCTTATTTGATGGAGAAAATAATGGTACCTCTATGGAGTTGAAGAGTAAGTGAGATGATCCATGGGTGCATTTTAGCACTGGGTCTGCACATAGTAAACTCTCTAAAACTAGCAATTATTCTTAAGCCTAGTTATTTAAATCAAGAAACATTTAGTGAGTTCTTACATAATTTGGTGGGAGATTCTAAAGATTCTTAAGTGTTGATCCCTGTACATAAGGCACTTGCAGTCTTGTTGAGGGTTGACTTTTGTGCAGTTAAATAAACTAAGTTGTATGCAGTGAATTGCTCAGAGTACTGGCAGTGATCAGAAACTGGGAAGAAAATACTAGCCCAGAGTAGTTGGGACAGACTTTACAGAGGAGGTGGTTTTGGAGGCCGGGTTTGGGGAAAGAGGGGGAGGGCATTTTATGCTCTAGGAACTACAGGAGCAAAGTCAGAGGTATTCGTAGTAACTGATTAGGAAGATACGAGTGACAGAAACACTGTTAAATGTATCATGTCAAGCCTTTATTTTATTGCCAAGTGATACCAAATATTACTAGAAATGACTGTGGTAGTGACAGCTTTTCATATTAATGTGACATCACGTCCTCCCAAAGGAATGCTGGGTATGTATGCACTTTAAAAGAACCCAGAATCATCTAAATATCGTCACGTGCTGCTTCCAAATGATGATGATAATGATGCTTGTAACAATGAGGATTAGCTGCACTCATAAGCCCACTTTAGATTATGTATTATTAGAACACATTGACTCCACTTGTAGAAGCTGATTAGGTAGGTCTCTGGCCACTTTGGTTTCTGAGCACAGGCTTTGTTAAGGTAAAGCAAGTCGTCTTAGGTAACTATGCCAGGAGTTTGTTATGAGATGAGTCCTGCTTACTGCTTTGATCCCAGCTTTATATATCTTAATATTATAGATGTCTTTTGCTGTTTCTGTAAAGATTTGTGTGAATTGAAAGTTGGATAAATCATATTTAAAATGCTTTTGGGTGTAAGTTGAAGGAGGTGGATGTCAGTGATAGGGATTCATAGTCAAGAGTTATTTCTCAGTAAACTAAAGGTCTAGCGTCTGTAACTTTTACTCATTCTTGCTTTCTCATGTAGAGGGATGTTTTCCTCTAAGTGTGCATACCATAAAATGCTAATCCTAAACATGTCCAGAGGTATTATGTGGAAGAGTAATAGTAGGTTCTGGAGTCAAGTAAATGTAGGAACAAGTGGGTTCAACAAAAGTAAACAGGTTTCTTTAAATGCTGGATTTAAAAAAATTGAGATGCTTGTACTGAACATAGTAAATCTCCAAGGGATATAGTTTCTTAAATTTCAGCTTCCGAGGAACTAGTGTCTTATAGAAAACACACCTTATGGGGGAATGATAAGAAATACATCTTCCATCATATGAATAATTGAAACAAAAGTTTCACAAACTTTGGTTACTTTTACTACAAGTAGTATGCACTAATGCTCTAATAGTTTCTATTCTGTTCTATTTCATTAGAAAAAATGCTGGATACCACCTACTAAGCTGATTTTGTGACCCATTAATGGATTCTAACTCTATTTGAAAAACACTATTCTGGAATAACTCAGAAAAGTCTAGGGACAGGAACTAACATCACAGTGTGTCAAGCTGTCACAGGCAACTTATAGATATTTTTGCATCTAATTTCTGTGCATTTATGAAGTAGATATCATTTTCTAGGTAAGGAAACTTGATCTTCTCTAGGCATGAAATAACACACAGTTAATGATGGCACTTGGATTTGAATCCAGGTCTTTATACATCAGTGGCTATGCTGTTCCTCTGTATTTTACTTTTTCCAAGCATAATCCCTTTTTCACATGAATAGCCCCTTGAAGTATTTGAACACTACTATCATGTCTCTGCTAACCTCTTCTCCCTACCACATACTCTGAGCATTCTCTTCTCCAGAGTAGGTAATCCCAGTTTATTATTTTAATAAGTTCATAGATAATGTAATTCTCTGATCCTTCAGCCATGATTGTGATTATTTTTTTCTTAACTCCAGTTGCTCATTAGATGCTAGGTATATGTTGCTTGAGCTAACTGCAATTATTTTTTTTAACCAAATATTTTGTTAACAATCTTAACTTCTTTTTTTTTTTTTTTTTTTTTTTTTGAGACAGAGCCTCAAGCTGTCCCCCTGGG